AGCACACCATTGTCCTTGAACGTAGAATTCAATAGTGCCTGCTATTAAGATCAATCAGAAAGTTAATGAGAGGACATATGGAGCACGAAACTGACAAACTAATTTTAATTCAATGAGATGACAATTACATGGAGTTATAAATTCTGGTCCTAAGGGTTGGCCTAAGTAAACTTTAGGTCCAATACCAGTAATATAAAGAAACACTATATATGTTTGAAGAATTTATAGAAGTTATAAAACATCTTGAATCTTTTCTTCCATAAATACATTAAAATTAGCAGAATTATAAAAACAAAACAGTTGTTAACTAAAATAATCTTAATTATAAGAAAATAAAAGTTAACAGGTTATAGTTACTTTAGACTCTTACAAAACACAAAATAATAATAACTGTTAACTGATATGGACGTGTATTTCAGACTCAATCTCAGGACCAAAATATTTTAACTCCAATTATATAATATGTATGTATTGAAAAGATAGAAAACTGTGTATGCACCCTTATGTTTCCCCAGTAAAAACCAACCATATTTTGGGCTATTACTAGAACAACCCTGGGTTTTTGAAAAGTGCACTAGATTGAGAATTTAGGGTATTATCCAAAAACTACCCTATGTTCTCTAACACTGTTCAAAAACCACCTCATAGCTAACAATCTTAAAATTTTTGAGTGTATTATGTATGACTAATTTGCCCTTGTGTGGCACATGTATTAACAAAATGACCATACTAAATATGGTAGTCAAGTGTGAGAAAATCTTATAACGGCTGTTGATACAACCATCCAATCATTGGGTGAGTGTATCTCACCCGCGCGGACATGGACACTCCATGATGGATGGTTGTTCCAACATTCCTTGTAGGGAAGATTTTTTCTCAAAGTTACATTTTTTGTGAGTGTTAAGTATTCTCCTATAATATCTGCATCAGATTCGCAAATTAATGGTATCAAACATCATGCCAGAAGCCAAAACATATTTGTTGGTTGCTGCTGTCTTGACGTTTCCCTTTAAGTCTCATGTAGCTTCTTCTTTCTTCAGCACTGCTGAAAACTAATGTTGAAGCTTTCGAGTCTTCCATGAGAGCCAGTAGAGCATTGAAACGGCAGTGGGACAATGAAAGCTCTGCGGCTGAGAGCTATCTTTTTTACTAAATAAGGGAGATAATTAATAAGAGAAAAGATTGGTGTGCTCAAACAACTGGCTGTAGAGTCTGGAAGGTAGCTCGAGTACTGCAAATTTCAAAGTTCTTGTTCAGATTATCACCAAGATTAATTAATATTAGCTTCATACATTTTCGGAGAAGAAAAAAAATTATACATCGATTAATGGATGCTATTGGTAGATAGATTCTTACTAAAAAGATTTAATACAACTAATTCTTGTCTTTTTATTATTATAATATTTTCATAAATTACCACTTGGTGAAGCACTAAAGTTCTATGGCCAGTAGGCAAATGCCAAAGAAAAACTGCCAAAAGGCTTTTAGAAAGCCTACAGACTATGGCAAGATAGTACTATGGGGCTGCCCAGTAAAGATACCCTGCCAAACTCTTCAGTTCACATGCGACACAGTGTGGATGAAGTTTTGCCAAACAGGAAGAATAATATCACCTATCAATTTATATATATTATATGTAAAGCATAATACTTTAAGTATAAGGTGGCAAAAATTAAAGACTTCGTTTTGTCGATGTAAGTTCTTAACTTGTGCAAGCATCACTAGTATTTGTAACGAGCAATGTTGTATACAAATTATGTTAAAAGGATTTCGACTACCATGTCATGAATATTGAACTAATTGAATGATAAACCCTCACCGAATAGTTTATATTTTTAAGTGGGATTATAATTAACATAGTATTCAAAGTTTAAAGTTTAAAATTTGAATCCTTACATTTTAACTGGATAAAAGAACGGTTAAAAAAAATCATATTTTTTAAGTAGGATGACAACTTAAGAGTCAAGACAAGGGAGCCCTTTTTAACTCATCGTCATCGCGGAATGTTAAATATATTGGTAATATTTTATAAATTAAATGTTAGACAACACTAATTAATAGTACCACAAGTCATTATACACTACTTTCATCTCACAAGTTCATCCCTTGCTTTTTACAAGTTATTATCGGTGTTTTAGACATCAAATAAAAGTTACTTATTCACATTTTTTTTATTAAGAATTCGTGTAATTGTTACAATCTTGTAAAATTTAACAATAAACTTATAAAAGCCAGCATATATGCGTTCAAAAAACTAAAACGTGCCCTATATACAAATTAGGTACATAAACCAATTTTGCCACACACAATAAATGAAAAAAATAAATTAAACTAAAACATTAAATTAAAAAATTAAGATACATAATAAATGATGTGAAAATAAACTAACAATTGTTATATATGGTATCATTATCCAATTATACTACACGTACCTCAATAATTCTTCGAACCCTAAACTACTGTTCGTATAAGAGCTTCAATAGCCATCTTATTAGCAATTAATGACAGACTCGAACTTAAAACCTCTTGAGTAATTTCCCCAAGAGCCTTTATCGAACCACTGACCACTTAGGTTGGTTATCATTTTCCAATATTAAGAAATGTATGTATAAGCAAGCTCTCATTTTCTAGGGTTTTGAGTAGGGGTGAGCAGTTCCAAGTACTCTACATCTTTGGGGAAACCGGAATCGGAACCCCGGAAATGGAACCGCACAATACAGGTTCTTAAATTCAAGAAACCAAAACCTAAAATGCAGGTTCCGGTTCCTTTCTCAGGTACCTTTAAAAATAATGACCCCCTATTAGTTTAAAAAATGACAAAAGTACCTTAAAAGTTTACGAATACCCCCCTAACAAATTTTGATTACTCATCTTTGTGTCCGATGTGAATCATAAATCCTCTAATCTCTAGGCATACTTGATTCCAATTCAATCAATTCATCACAATTCACATAAAATTTCTCAATCAAAACCAAAACACAAACAATTAATTAAAAAATCATACTATAAATCTATAATTTAATATTATAATTAATTAAATTTCTAATCATTTAATTAAGTATTGTACTAATGTTTATAATGGAATATTATAATTAATTAAGTAATCGTATTATAAATCTATAATGTAATGTTATAATTAATTAATTTTTTTTATCATTTAATTAAGTAATGTACTAATATAGTAAATTACTAATGTTTATAATGTAATATTATAAACTTATAATTAATTAAGTAATCATTTAACAATTTAATGTTATAATTAATTACATGATTATAATATAATGTAATGTTATTATTAATTAAGCAATTATTTAATTATAATGTAATATTTTAATTAATTAAATTTCTAATCATTTAATTAAGTAGTGTACTAATGTTTATAATAGAATGTTATAATTAATTAAGTAACTATTTAATTAAGCAATCATTTGTTTACAATATAATGTTATAATTAATTAAGTAATCATATTATAAATTTATAATATAATGCTATAATTAGTTAAATTTCTAATCATTTAATTAAGTATTGTGTTAATGTAGTAAATTACTAATGTTTATAATATAATGTTATAATTAATTAAGTAATCATTTAACTATATAATGTTATAATTAATTATATGATCATACTATAATATAATGTTATAAAGAATTGAGTAATCATACTATAAATCTTTAATGTAATATTATAATTAATTAAATTTCTAATCATTTAATTAACTATTGTACTAATATTTATAATGGAATGTTATAATTAATTAAGTAATCATTTAATTAAATAATCATTTGTTTATAATGTAATGTTATAATTAATTAAATAATCATATTATAAATTTATAATGTAATATTCTAATTAATTAAGCAATCATTTGTTTATAATATAATGTTATAATTAATAAAACAATCATTTGTTTATAATGTAATGTTATAAACTTATAATTAATTAAGTAATCATTTAACTATAATGTAATGTTATAATTAATTAAGTAATTATTTAACTAGTAATATATTATTGTTTATTAATTTATCATATATAATTAATTAATTAATTACTAATTTACTACAAATATACTTAGAACTTGATAATTGAAGTAAATAACTAAATATTATGTTATTATTCAATCAAATATATTATTTTATTCAAAAATAATTCTTTTAATAACATTAAAACACTTTTAATAGGTTTTAATTCCAATTATACACTTAATTCATCAAAAATTTAATATTAATATATTATAATATATTTAAAAAAATTTATGATGTAGTTTATATGTAATAAGTATAATTGTATATTTATTTAATTAGGTTATTGTAAAAATTTAACTTTTTCCATTTTAAATTTTTTTATATGTAAAATTCCATAGGCCCCCCATTTTTCACAGATATTTCATTTCAGCCCAGGTTCCAAAACAGGGTACCCGCTGCAGGTTCTTTTTTCCAAGTTTCGGTTCTGGTTCCTCCACATGTAAGAACCAAAACTGGAACTGTATAGTATCGATTCCAAAAAAAATGAAATCAAAACCTACCAGCACAATATAGGTTCTGGATAGGTTTCAATTTCGGTTCTTGCTCTACCTATAGGTTTCGGTTTTACCCGCTACCCGTGCTCACCTCTTTGAGAATGCCCTTGGTCACGTCTGCCTCTCAACTTCAATGGGAATTTTTGATAGAAAAAGAAGCCACCTCGCAAAATCAATTGGTAATATTCATGCACCTTCAAATTAATCAAGGGTTTTAATAACTAAAGTACAGATACATTGTCTTATTTAAAATCAAGTACTAGAGAATCTCTCATGTATGCTAAGTTATGATTTCAAATTTTTATGATTCTCTATTTACAAATAGGACAAAAATAGGAGTTACGAATTACGATGATGTTGAAGATTATTTCGTCGATTAATTAAATTTTTATATGCATGAATAAAACTACTGAGACAGGCTTGTCTAATTAGTCTATATTAGTGAAGCCTTTCTAGCTTAATTGATCGTATCTAAATAATTAATATTGCAAGAAACTGAGGATCACATTAACATTATCATTCACATAATTTACAAAACATGCATGTGATATCATTTCTCCCTCTCTCTCTGTGTCTCCCCCTTTCTCTCATCTTATGACCATGACAAAATAAGATTACACACTGTCATCTAATTTTCTTCAACACATTAAAGATTGTAACCTAATTCAAAATCTTGAAACATCCCCTCAGATTGAAGAACAGGCGTCGAATCCCACGAGTTTGAGGAAGCTGATTTTGAGTCGAACTCATTTGCCCACCATAACAAATTGTCCTTAGAACCATTCATAGTATTCAGATACTCAAATTGTGGAAGCTGATCTTCCTGTGCGGTAAACCCAACCCCTTTGTTATTAAGAAAACTTTCAAGCTCAGCTTGGAATGTTGAAGCCGGCTGCGTCGTCACATTCGATTGATCTATATTAACACCATTCACTTTTGGCACAGGATTTGTGTCCATGAAATTGTTGTTTGTGTTAATCGGAATCGAATCGTTGATCTGAGGATTATAATCTTGAGGATTTTTTAAAGGAGGAGCAGTGGATTGACCAGGAAGAACATTTTGCATAACAGGATTATTAATGTTATGCATTCCGTTCAAAGATTGAAGGCTTTGGATCATTTTTTCCTGGAAAGGGTGAAGTTTCGGCCACAGAGCGGGATTATTGTAGAAAGACAAAGGATTTTGGAGGCTCTGGAGTTGCATATGGAGCTGCAGCCTCTCCAGAGCGGAGCTGCTTAATCCCTGAGAATGACTGTCGTCACCGCCGTTGTCATTCGGGTCCTGCCCGGAGGAAGCTAGCCCGTTGTTGGCGGATTGTTTGCGCCGTCCGAGGAGTTTCTTCTTCAGTCTGGTGTTCCAGTAATTCTTGATGTCATTATCGGTTCTTCCAGGCAATTGGGCAGCAATTATGGACCACCTAAAAGTGTGAAGAAAAAACTCAAATTTTTGGCCCCCAACATCAAGAAAAATGAAGCAAAAGAACTGAAGTTTTCAAGAAAATACGGGTCTGCCTGGAATGGCTAGAAACAGCGCAAAAAAATCATCGGTTGCCTACATAAGTTTTGGCAGTATGATTCAACCCCCACCTGCTGAGCTAACAGCTTTAGCCGAAGCACTAGAGGCAAGAATACTCCATTTCTTTGGTCATTTAGAGGCAATCCTGAGGGAACAATTGCCCCAGGCTTTTTACAAAGGACCAACGCCTACGGAATGGGCTTCCCAGTTAAAAATCCTAGAGCATTCTTCTGTTGGGGTTTTCGTGACACATTGTGGATGGAACTCTGTAATCGAGATTTGGCGATGATTTGTCGGGGACCAGGGGCCAAATCAACGTACTGTGGAGACAATTTTGGGGATTGATTTGGAAGTTGAGGATAGAAAATTACAAAAGATGGAACAATGAAAGCCCTTAGAGCAATATTGACTACTGAAGAAGGGAAGATAATGAGATAAAAAGTTGGTGTGCTCAAACAACTTGCTCTTAAGGCTGTAGAATCTGAAGGGAGCTCTACTGCAAATTTCAAAGCTCTTGTTGAGATTGTCAAGTCCAAGAATTAATTAGTATTAGAAATGTTTTAATTTTAATGTAGTAGCAAAATAAGATCAATTGTGCTTATTTAAGTTGTTGGTACGGTTACTAACCTGTGTATGAATTTATATTATATTAAATACAATAATTATAAATATATATATATATGTGTGTGTGTGTGTGTGTGATCTTTTGTAAATATTTTTATTGACGAGAAAAATTTATATGGCATAGTTTCACCACCTCACTTTGTTGACATGATGAGACGTTAGATAATGTAATGGTATGCATTGTCACATTTTGCAAAAATCTCTTTCATCCACTTATCACCGTGATTAGCAAATAACTACCAATTATCATTCATCGATAACAATCACCATGGTGATTTTGAAAATTAAAATAGTAGATGTCTTTGTTTAATCAAACAATCTCACCACATGAACAAAATGAGGTGATGAGACTTCAGATATAAGTATTTATCAATGACTGTAATATCATGCCAATAATACCACATTAATATCATAGACTTTTTATTGATTTTTACCAACAATTCTCTCAATTAATTTCTTCTCTTCTAAGAATTCCTTGCCTACCAGCAACCATTGTCCTTGAACGTAGAATTCAATAGTGCCTGCTATTTAAGATCAATCAGAAAGTTAATGAGAGGACATATGGAGCACGAAACTGACAAACTAATTTTAATTCATGAGATGACAATAATGGAGTTAAAACTCTGGTCCTAAGGGTGGCCTAAGTAAACTTTAGGTCCAATACCAGTAATATAAAGTAAACTTATATAGTTTGAAGAATTTTATAGAAGTATAAAACATCTGAATCTTTTCTTCCATAAAATCATTAATAATTAGCAGAATTATAAAAACAAAACAGTTGTTAACTAAAAATAATCTTAATTATAAGAAATAAAAGTTAACAGGTTATAGTTACTTTAGACTCTTACAAAACAAAAATAATAAATAACTGTTAACTGATATGGACGTTATTTCAGACTCAATCTCAGGACCAAAATATTTTAACTCCAATTATTAATATGTATGTATTGAAAAGATAGAAAACTGTGTATGCACCCTTAGTTCCCCCAGTAAAAACCACCATATTTTGGGCTATTACAGAACAACCCCTGGGTTTTTGAAAAGTGCACTAGATTGGAGATTAGGTGTATTATCCAAAAAAATACCCTAGTTCTCTAACACTGTTCAAAAACCACCCTATAGCTAACAATCTTAAAATTTTTGAGTGTTATGTATGTATTGACTAATTTGCCCTTGTGTGGCAATGATTAACAAAATGACCATACTAAATATGGTAGTCAAAGTTGAGAAAATCTTATAACGGCTGTTGTACAACCATCAATCATTGGGTGAGTGTATCTCACCGCGCGGACATGACACTCCATGATTGGATGGTTGTTCCAACATTCCTTGTAGGGAAGATTTTTTCATCAAAGTTACATTTTTTGTGAGTGTTAAGTATCTTCCATATAATATCTGCATCAGATTCGCAAATTAATGGTATCAAACATCATGCCAGAAGCCAAAAACATATTTGTTGGTTGCTGCTGTCTTGACGTTTCCCTTTAAGTTTCATGTAGCTTCTCTTCTTTCTTCAGCACTGCTGAAAATAATGTTGAAGCTTTCGAGTCTTCCATGAGAGCCAGTAGAGCATTGAAACGGCAGTGGGACAATGAAAGCTTGCGGTGAGAGCTATCTTTTTTACTAAATAAGGGGAGATAATTAATAAGAGAAAAGATTGGTGTGCTCAAACAACTGGCTGTAGAGTCGTCTGAAGGTAGCTCGATGTACTGCAAATTTCAAAGTTCTTGTTCAGATTATCACCAAGATTAATTAATATTAGCTTCATACATTTCTCGGAAGAAAAAAAAAATTATACATCGATTAATGGATGCTATTGGTAGATGATTCTTACTAAAAAGATTTAATAACAACTAATTCTGTCTTTTTATTATATTATAATATTTCATAAATTACCTACTTGGCTGAAGCACTAAAGTTCTATGGCCAGTAGGCAAATGCCAAAGAAAAAACTGCCAAAAGGCTTTTAGAAAGCCTACAGACTATGGCAAGATAGTACTATGGGCTGCCCAGTAAAAGAGTACCCTGCCAAACTCTTCAGTTCACATGCGACACAGTGTGGATGAAGTTTTGCCAACAGGAAGAATAATATCACCTATCAATTTATATATATATATGTAAAGCATAATACTTTTAAGTATAAGGTGGCAAAAATTAAAGACTTCGTTTTGTCGATGTAAGTTCTTCTAACTGTGCAAGCATCACTAGTATTTGTAACGAGCAATGTTGTATACAAATATGTAAAAGGATTTCGACTACCATGTCATGAAATATTGAACTAATTGAATGATAAACCCTCACCGACTAGTTATATTTTTAAGTGGGATTATAATTTAACATAGTATCAAAGTTTAAAGTTTAAAATTTGAATCCTTACATTTAACTGGATAAAGAACGGTTAAAAAAAATCATATTTTTTAAGTAGGATGACAACTTAAGAGTCAAGACAAGGGTACCCTTTTTTTACTACTCATCGTCATCGCGGTGATTAAATATATTGGTAATATTTTAAAATTAAATGTTAGACAAACACTTAATTAATAGTACCACAAGTCATTATACATACTTTCATTTCACAAGTTCATCCCTTGCTTTTTACAAGTTATACGGTGTTTTAGATCCATCAAATAAAAGTTACTATATTCACATTTTTTTATTAAGAATTCGTGTAATTGTTACAATCTTGTAAAATTTAACATAAACTTATAAAAGCCCAGCATATATGCGTTCAAAAAACTAAAACGTGCCCTATATACAAATATGTACATAAACCAATTTTGCCACACACATAAATGAAAAAAATAAATTAAACTAAAACATTAAATATAAAAAATTAAGATACATAATAAATGATGTGAAAATAAACTAACAATTGTATATATGTGTATCATTATCCAATTTATACTACGTACCTCAACTAATTCTTCGAACCCTAAAACTACTTGTCGTATAAGAGCTTCAATAGCCACTCTATTAGCAATTAATGACAGACTCGAACTTAAAACCTCTTGAGTAATTTCCCAAGAGCCTTTATCGAACCACTGACCACTTAGGTTGGTTATCATTTTCCAATTATAATGAAAATGTATGTATAAGCAAGCTCTCATTTTCTAGGGTTTTGAGTAGGGGTGAGCAGTTCCAAGTACTCTACATCTTTGGGGAAACCGAATCGGAACCCCGGAACTGGAACCGCACAATACAGGTTCTTAAATTCAAGAAACCAAAACCTAAAATGCAGGTTCCGGTTCCTTTCTCAGGTACCTTTAAAAAAAAATGACCCCCTATTAGTTTAAAAAAATGACAAAAGTACCTTAAAAGTTTACGAATACCCCCCTAACAAATTTTGATACTCATTCATTGTGTCCGATGTGACTCATAAATCCTCTAATCTCTAGGCAATACTTGAATTCAATCAATTCATCACAATTCACATAAAATTCTCAATCAAAACCAAAACACAAACAATTAATTAAAAATCATACTATAAATCTATAATTTAATATTATATTAAATAAATTCTAATCATTTAATTAAGTATTGTACTAATGTTTATAATGGAATATTATAATTAATTAAGTAATCGTTATTATAACTATAATGTAATGTTATAATTAATTAATTTTTTTATCATTTAATTAAGTAATGTACTAATATAGTAAATTACTAATGTTTATAATGTAATATTATAAACTTATAATAATTAAGTAATATTTAACAATTTAATGTTATAATTAATTACATGATTATAATATAATGTAATGTTATTATTAATTAAGCAATTATTTAATTATAATGTAATATTTTAATTAATTAAATTTCTAATCATTTAATTAAGTAGTGTAATAATGTTTATAATAGAATGTTATAATTAATAAGTAACTATATAATTAAGCAATCATTTGTTTACAATATAATGTTATAATTAATTAAGTAATTAATTATAAATTTATAATTATAATGCTATAATTAGTTAAATTTCTAATTCATTTCAGCACAATCATTTCGTATGGGCACATTCGCCGTTATTGAAAAGTATCAACTATCCTCTATTAGGAAGTTTTTAAAACTTTTATAAGTTTATTTATTTTATTTTATATTAAAGAGATTTTGATATTTTTTACGTATTTGATAATCATAGAGTGTATAATACTTTTAAAAAAATAACAGATGTGCTTCATAAATTAAGCAATCTCACAATGATAATTGAAACTCTATCTATAATTTATATAATTACTAATTATAAAATTTAACACTTTTGTTGTGGTGGGCACGCATGGTTTTGTGAAATTTGTCGAGTTATAAAGAGACTTTTTCAATAAAATAATATAGGTGCCTTAAACAACCACTATCTTACCCACCATTCGCTATAACTATTTGAAGGGAAAATTATGTCAACCTACTCAAGATTTTGTTTCAAGATCCCAACCATCTTTAAAACTAACAATGATATGCCCAAAAGTGAAAAACATTATGTTAAAATAAACAGTAAAAAGGTAAAATGATCTTGAAAATGATCTATTTTAAATTATTTTCTTAGGAAAAAAACCTTAATCATTTTTAAACACAAAATACTAAAATACCGTTCTTTTAAAAGAAAACCCCAAAATCACCCTTCAACCATTAAAAAAAAAAAAAGGGCACACAGACACACAAATGGATTGACCATGTTGGCCTGGAAGTAATCTGGCCACTTAATTCCATCAAGCCACCAATGATGCCACCAATTTCTTTGGTTCAAAGAAAATTCAATAAGTATTTGATTTCAGAAAAAGTAGGGTTAGTGTTCATTTAGGAATTAATTGATCTAGAGAAGTTATGATGATTTGTATTGTCTTTTAGATTAAATTTACTAAATAGCTTTATTACTTTATAATATAATGTTTTGCAGTCTAATGGTTGTGATTCTATTATAGATAGTAAGAAGTTAACAAGTAATTTATTGTTGGTTTTTATTAAAGGAAATTTTTGTAAGAGTTTATTAAAATTTTCCCTTAGGTATCATAAATAATAATATATCCCCTATTGTTAGTTTTTGTTAGGGTTTAATTGTTTAATTTAACTGATTAAATGTAAAATGTATTTGTAGGATAATGGAAACACTAACCAAACAGTAAAATAAGTGGTTAATTATTATTTCATATACTTTAGGGGGAATTTAATTTTATGATACCTCAAAGGATAAATTGTAATAAAATCTTTTTGTAATTGTATTAGCTTACGAATGGGTAAGTTATTGTTAGTTTTTAAAACATCTGGAGATCATTAACATTTTTCTAAACCTTAAGTATGTATAGTAATTTCCCCAGATACGAGTCCTTCAATAAATACCAGTATACCACTCTCTTTATGAAGCCTCGAGACTCCTTACATATTTATATATGCCCTTCCCTGCCTGCAGTACACACAGCTCTCAGTAAATTGACCTTAGTTTGTGTAATAACTTCTAACTTAGCCACAATCATCCATGCCAGAAGCCAAAAGTAGCCAAAAACACATAGCTGTGTTGACATTTCCTTTCACATCTCATGTCGCCCTTCTTTTTTCCTCACTCAAAGGCTTTCACAAGCTGCTCCAGACTTGAAATTCTCATTCTTCAGCACGGCTCAGTCTAATGCCTTGCATTTTTCGAAAGATAATGGTGAGTTTAGTAACATAAAACCCTACAATGTTGACGCAGGGTTACCGGAAGGTTACCTGCATAAGGGTAACGACCCTCCAAAAGTGGAAGTGAAGTACTTTCTGAAGGCAACGCCCAGGAATTTCCAGAGGGCTATTCAAACGGTAGTGGCAGAGACAGGGATGGAGATTTGCTGCTTGATGATTAACGCGTTTCTTTGGTTCGCGGCGAAGATGGTGAAAGAAATGCAAGTAACCTGGATAACGTTCTGGAATGGCGGTCTTCGTGCTCTGCTTGTCCATCTTGAAACAGAAGGCAACAGTTGGGAATCAATGGTATGTGTGTTTAGCATAAGGGATCAATATGTTAAGAGGTGACTGGGGGCTGGTGACCCCACTAAAAACTCACATTAATTTTGCTTAGTTTTTTGTTTTGATCAGAAATTCGAAATCCTAGTTTTTAATTATATATACAGTACTAAAAAATATTTCTTGGATTTGAAATGTTTGTTTTCTTGTGTTTATTATTTAATTAATGATTAATGATTGATTATGTAATTGGATTTCATATTGCAGGACCTGGAGAACAAACCCTTGAAATTTTTCCATGATTTTCTACAGTGCGAGCAATGGATCTTCCGGAGGGTGTAATCTCAGGGCCCTTAGATGAGTGCATAAAGATTCTACTGCACAAAATCGGACAAATGTTGCCTGAAGCAACCGCTGTGGCCGCAAACTCTTTCGGGGAATTAGACCTTCCTGCTCTGAGCACACTCAAGTCAAGACTGCCCAAGTTTCTCAGCGTTGGCCCCTTCATTTTAACCTCTCCACCACCCCCCGATTCCGATACGAACGGCTGCCTGGAATGGCTAGAACAGCGCAAAAAATCATCGGTTGCCTACATAAGTTTTGGCAGTATGATTCAACCCCCACCTGCTGAGCTAACAGCTTTAGCCGAAGCACTAGAGGCAAGTAATACTCCATTTCTTTGGTCGTTTAGAGGCAATCCTGAGGAACAATTGCCCCCAGGCTCTTTACAAAGGACCAACGCCTACGGAATATGGTTACATGGGCTCCCCAGTTAAAAATCCTAGAGCATTCTTCTGTTGGGGTTTTCGTGACACATTGTGGATTGAACTCTGTAATCGAGATTTGTCGATGATTTGTCGGGGACCAGGGGCCAAACCATCGTACTGTGGAGACAATTTTGGGGATTGATTTGGAAGTTGAGGATAGAAAATTCACAAAAGATGGAACAATGAAATCCCTTAGAGCAATATTGACTACTGAAGAAGGGAAGATAATGAGAGAAAAAGTTGGTGTGCTCAAACAACTTGCTCTTAAGGCTGTAGAATCTGAAGGTGGCTCTACTGCAAATTTCAAAGCTCTCGTTGAGATTGTCAAGTCCAAGAATTAATTAGTATTATAAATGTTTTAATTTTAATGTAGTAGCAAAATAAGATCAATTGTTCTTATTTAAGTTGTTGGTACGTGTACTAACCTGTGTATGAATTTATATTATATTAAATACAATAATTACAATATATATGTGTGTGTGTGTGTGTTCTTTTGTAAATATTTTTATTGACGAGAAAAATTTATATGGCATAATTTCACCACCTCACTTTGTTGATGTTATACCTTAATAGCAAGAACTGATCTATCAACACAACACAATCAAACCAAGAAACATAAGAATACCAAAAAGATCAAACACACAGAACACGCCACGATTTACCGTGGTTCACTTATCCTTTTATGGATAAGCTGCATCCACGTTGAGCTCAAGAAAGGTATGAGCTCGCTGCACTTCGATTACCAGAAACCAGTCAAGATTACACAGATTCAACACTCACCAGATCTACCTGTATACAGCAGCATTCAGCCTTACAATATACCCTATGAATATCCCAAACCCGAGAGAACAACACTCTCACCTGAATGATTAAAGCCCCTAATCACTCGACTGATACTCACAATCTGGAATGGAATCTCAACCCTAACACAGAGAAAATAACCGACTCAATATAACCCTAGCCACTGTCGTTCTCTCTCTCTCTCAAGACTGAATGAATCATGCGCTTATATATGGTTTGACTCTGTGAGTGATCCTGGCCGTTCAATCTGAAACGCATCCTGTGGTCTGCATTTGCCCAAATTAATACACCTAAAACGACGCCGTATTAGTGTTACTTAAACGACGCTGTTTCAGGCTTCCATATTTAACAATCTCCACCTTGGAAGCACTGGAAACAGACTCTTTGTGCAACTTGCCCTTTCCCATTCTGTCATAGCTCTTTATCACTCCTGATTACTTGATGGTGCAGGTCAGTTCAAGCAATGCTGAACTTGACTGGAGTGATAATTTTGGTGCCCATATCTGCTGGGTCTTCCTTCTGTGGGTACCTTCTTCAGTCAATGATTCCATTTGCAACTTGTTCCTCACAAA